ACAAGGAACAATGGACACAAATTATTGGAGAGTAGGTTTAGATTAGACATCCGCGAGAACTACTTCACAGTTAGGGCGGCTAGGAGCTGGAACCAACTTCCAAGGGAAGTGGTGCTGGCTCCTGCCCTGGGGATCTTTAAGAAGAGGCTTCATGCCTACCTGGCTGGACTCATTTGAGCCCAGTTTTTTTTCTCCCGCCCAGGCGGGGGGTTGGACTTGAAGATCTACAAGGTCCCTTCTGACCCTTCTTCTATGATTCTATGATCACCACTCTCTGGGTGCGGCCCTCCAGCGAATTGGCAACCCATCTGACTGTGTATACATCAACACCACAATCTCCTAATTTTTTGATAAGAATGGGGTGAGAGACAGTGTTGAAGCCCTTCCTAAAGTCCAGAAAGACTACGTCCACTGCTACCTCTGCATCCAAGGATTTTGTGACCTGGTTGTAGAAGGCCACCAGGTTGGTTTGACAGGACCTGCCTCTAATGAACCCGTGTTGGTTGCCCCTAAGCATAATCTCCCCTGCTGGACCCTCACAGATGTGCTCCTGGATAATTTTCTCAAAGACCTTCCCCAGGACCGAGGTAAGACTAACAGGCCTATAGTTTCCTGGGTCCTCTTTCCTCCCTTTTTTGAAAATGGGGACCACATTGGCCCTTTTCCAATCCTCTGGCACCTTGCCAGAGCACCATGAGTGCTCGTAGAGCTGTGCCAGGGGTCCTGCAATGTCCTCTGCCAATTCCCTTGGCACGCTTGGGTGGAGATCATCTGGACCTGCCGATTTGAAGATGTCCAGTCCCACCAGAAGTTCCCTCACCAAGTCCTCTCTGATCCTGGGCCCAGCTGTGCCTCTCCTGAGTTCGTCCAGTGTTCTGGTGGAGGGGATGTCCACCCTGGCTTTCTCTGGACAGGGTGATCACTGCAAGCATCCAAAGGCTCTTCACCCAGAAGCCAACAATTTCTTTTGAGCTTCGAATTAGGGGTTCCCCTGGCCACACCAACAGTTCCCCAAGTGATGGATGGCAGAAAAAATGGGTATGCTGGGGGTGGGGGAGGGTTAGGCTGTGGATCAATGCCCACTAAGGAAGAGCTAAGCTGTCTTAAGTGTTTCCATGGTTTCCAATTATGTTCCTTAAGGCAAAATGGCAGTCATCCTTACAGTTGTTGTGTAAATGAGGAATGATCTGGCATGGACAAACAGGTTAAAAACAAAACAAAACAAAACAATTGCTGCTCTGACCTGAAATTAACCACGCCAGTACATTTCTGAGAGAGAGCACCCAAAAATGCTTCGCTAATTGGTAGAAAATTCATGCTTATGTGGGCTTACGCTGGCCGCTGTGCAGGGAGAGTATTTATGGAATTGCAACCAAAAAAAGCAAACCCGTCTCACCCCATGCACCCCCTGCCTCACCCCACGTGCTGGTCACTTACGAGGGCTGATGCTGCCAGCTGTGTGTGGGGGGCAGGAGGGGGGTTTGTATTTTTGGAACTGCAACCAACCCCATCTCAGCCCATGTCCCCCTGTTCCACTCTCTATCACCCCATGCACCCTCTGTGTCATACTGTGTGCTGCCCACTGTCTCACCCCATGTCCCATTCCACCGTTTCATCCCATGTCACCCCATTTCCCCACAACTGACAAAGCTAGATTTGTTGGGGAGAGCACCTGAAAATGCATCAGTGGGTGAACAGCAGAAAATTTGGGGGGGGGGAGTCTAACCGAAAGCCACCTGAAAAAAATAAACCAATCACAAAATACATTCCTAAACTGCCCCCCTCAGATTTGGCTGTGCTATCATCCCAAGAGGTGTCAGGGAAGTTGAAGGCTCCCATGATGATCAAGCATTGGGAGCATGTGGCTTCAACCAGTTCCCTAACGAATTACCGATCTAGGTCTTCCCCTTGGTGGGGGGGTCTATACTCGACTCCTACAGGTAAGTCACCCTCCCCATGTTCTCATATCTTGACCCAGAGGGTCTCAGATGCCCTTCCTGGTTTGGAAACTCAATCTGCAGGGAGGTGAGCTGATCTTTGACAGAGAGAGCAACACCCCCACCCCTCTTCCCCACACGATCTCTCCTATATGTAGTGTAACCCTCTCCTGCCACCAACCAATCATAGGTGGAGTCCTGCCAGGTCTCTCTAATTCCTACAGGTAGGAATTTGTAGTCATTATCACATAGGAGAAGGGCCAGTCCCTCATGCTTGTTTCCCAAGCTCCCGGTGTTTGTGTACAGGCAGTTAATGCTTCCCTGAGGGGTTAAGAGGGGACTTTCCTCAGGCTGTTGCCAGAGAGGGATCCCTTAGGCTGCCCAAGGTATTGGTAGTGCAGCTGATATGACCTGGGCTAAAACTTAGTAGACCACCCATCCCCCAGCAGTCTCAGTTTAAAGCCCTGTCCAGAAGGTCAGCCATTCTGGCCGAGAAGAGCTTCTTCCTTTTCCAGGCGAGGTGGAGCCCAACCATTCCCAAAAGTCCACTCTCTCTGAAGTGTGGACCATGGTTGGGGAAGCCAAACTCCTCACGATGGCACCATCGCTGGAGTCTTCTATTCACTTCGCTGATGCACCTGTCCCTCCGGAGCCCATGTCCTGCAACAGGGAGGATAGAAAACTATCTGTGCCCCCAGACCCTTGAGCCCGGCTCCCAGAGCCCTGTAGTCACACATGAACTGGCCTGGACTTCTCTGTGTTGTGTCATTGGTGCCCACATGGATGAGGAGCATGGGATGGTGGTCGGAGGGCCGGATGAGTTTGGGGATCCTCTCTGTCACATCCTGGACTGAGCTCCAGGCAGGCACCAGACCTCATTGGCCAGGGGGTCAGGGCAACAGATCACTCCCTCAGTCCCCCCAGGGAGGGAGTCACCCACCACGATAACTCAGTGCGCCTTCTTCTAGGCACAGGTCCTGGTGGCCCTGTGTCCTCACATGCTGGAGCTGGTGGAATGGCTGGCTCCATTGATGTGAGAGGTGCAAAGCAGCTGTGCAGCTCCAGGGGAGTGGTAACCCAAGTGCTGCACCCCTTTGGGCCGGGCAGGTATCTGCTGTCCAGTCTGATTACTTCTATTTAGGACTGTTTGCATTTGTATATTGCAGTAGTGCCAACACACCTTCATGGTAGTTGGGACCTAGGTATCAGCTCTACAAATGCGTGACATTCCCTACCCCGAAGATCTCAAGTGTGAACTCATCAAGATAGACACAGCATAGGAGGAGAAGCAGAGGTACACAGAGGCTGTGTCTTACCTAAGCAGATCAGAGATGCATCTCCCTCCCACCCTAGGAGCAAGAGAGAGTTACTAAGCTGCCTTCACCCAATGTGGGTTTTGGCCCGCCCTTCTCTGACTTCATGGAACAATGACCCAGCAGCACCCAACCTTTGGCACGAGTTTTGCAAGTGGCACTCAGCAGATCAGGGAGGGGGCAGGTAGCACAGCAGCAGATAAGGCAGG